TAAGTTATGGATTTCCTGTGTTGTATACTCCCCCCTTTCGTGACGGCTTATAACGCCTAAAATTCGGGTTTCAACATCCGCGGTGAGCAGATTACAGATAGCCCATTGTGTAGCATAAACAAACAAATCTAAGTTATATAAGAATCCTCAAACGATTAAATATAATGTTTTAGATTTTGTTCATTGTGTAGCACAAACTTTATGCTGAAAATCAAACAAACCTAAGTTATATAAGAACCTCAAACAATTCAAGATAATAATCTAGATTTTGTTCATTGTGTAGCATAAACTTTGTGCTGAAAAACAAACAAACAAACAAATCTAAGTTATATAAGAACCTCAAACAATTCAAGATAATAATCTAGATTTTGTTCATTGTGTAGCACAAACTTTGTGCTGAAAAACAAACAAACCTAACTTACATAAGAATCCTCAAACCATTAACGATAATGATCCAGATTTTGTTCATATGAGCTCTATTGCGACAATGTTTCAGTTTAACGTGCTTTTCAGCTAGTTTTGTTATTCTAGTTTCATCCTTGTTGCCGAGTTGTGAAACGTATTTATTCATAACAAACCATGGCGAACTGAGGTCGATAAAAATAGGATGTTATCTAAATCCTGAGTTTTAAATTATTTTTGTTGTGAAAGTCAGCTTGGTTCACATATTTTTATATAATACAATGATGTTCGTAGTATGGACTTTTTTTATCCAGTATGATTAAATATGTTTTTATTTTATTTAAAAGTATTCTATTCAAGAGAAGTATATTTTGAACAATTACGTGCCGTACACAATAAAGGCTAAGCCTATTTTTACTGTCCCGCTAGAATTAACACTATTTCCGCTAAATTTAAACTAAACAGAACTTTCAATAAATCATATTCGTGTGCTATAATTTACTATTCCTTTTTAATACTATTTATTCATTTTAGCAAGTCTTCACTAATTTTCCTTTTATCATTCATTTAACTACTTTTATTCCCAGTTCCCAAGTTCTCGAAAGTTCTTCCCTAAATCTTTGTTAACTGACTTTCATCTTACTTTTACTAATAAGATATTACTCTTTATTCAGTGCTTATAAGTCACGAAGTTGTTATTACTCTTTCTTACCTCTTCAATAAGCCTTCACTTAGTCTTGGTTATTTTTCATTAACTCTTCAATACTTCCATCACATTTCATCAACTTTTCTCTTACTCTTCATTAACTCATTATTTACTGTTTATTATTTTATATAACTTTATATTACCTCTTCTCTGTGTCTTCACTTATTCTTAATTACGCATTATTCATTACATTGTTCGCTCACTCACAACATTACAATTGTTGTTCATGCAATTGATGATATAAATAGTGCCTAGACTACTGCTATGTCTGTCATTTCTCAGTTGGTCTGATGAGCACTGGTATTAAGCGAAAGGTCTCGTCGGCACATGCCAGATATAATATGATTTACGAATTCTTGCATATTCTTCTTTGCTTTCAGTAATAAGTTCTTAAAATTAAATTACCCTTTTCTAAAGTTTCATCACCTCTTAGTTCTTCTTCAGTCATTTTTCCTTAACCTTTCCATCATTCATTCTTCAATAATTCTTCTTCAATGTTTTATTTCTCTTCAATAATTCACATTTTCGCAGCTCATGATTGCTTTGTATATTTCTTTCACGATTCCGACCACTCAGTTAGGAGTGCAGATGGTTCGAGTTAACCATTAATTAAAAGACATCATAAAGCCATCTCTATAGACTAAACTTACAACCAATGACTACACCAAAAATTAATTGATACTTATGTTATATGTTTTTTATTATGAGAATCTATAACATCATATTTAAGCTAACCATCGTACGCAGTGGCGCCATAAAGCAAGATCTTGGGGAGAGGGGAGGGAGTAAAGTTGAGCCGTAATTTCTATGTCGTAGCACATAAGAGCCAAGGGTTATGAGGAACAAAACGAAACAAGGAAATTTCAATTTTGTACATTTTAATATTAGTAATATCCCACAAACATTGCCCACTAACCAGACGTTTTACATTTCTCAACATCAAATTAAAGCTTGGGTGGGGCGGATGCCTCCCTCCAATTGGCGCCACCTATAGTACGAAATAATAAATAACAAAACTTGTTTCTTGAATCAATTTCAACAGAACGTAATGAAGGTGAAGTATATGTTGTTAAAAAATAATCAATTTTCCAAGTTCCATAGCCTCACGTAGTCACAGTACCAAAGTGTAATTGGATTTTTTTGAACGGAAGTATGAAATACGGATTTGTTAGTCATGTTAGCCATGATATCGACTTCTGTCCTTCAGTAACTACATCAATATCACAGCTAGAGAACAGGATTATCAAGAATGGCGCTTAGATTTTAGATTAAATCCTTTGGAAAATGTGGTTGTTGTTGTTTTAGTACAAAATGAGCCATCCTCGTTCTGTTCACCGCGGGGAATATGACACCAAATTTTAGCGCTGTAAGTGCGTAAACATATCGCCGACCCACTGGGTGTGGGAACCTGTTGGAAAGGAAGCAATTCAGGAAAAAGAAACAAACTTAAAAGCGTCAAAAACAAAACAAGTATCGCTACATCTTACGGCTTAAATAGACGACTTCTTAATATCGCGTAATTTTATGAAATATTAAAGTTTCAACTTGTTATATTCAAGGCCGTAAAGCAGTATATTTCCAAGGTTCAATTTAACAGAAGGAACAACACGACAACCACGATTAAAGGAAATATTAGCAACACATACATGAATGTATTTTATTCAAGTTAAGAACACGAATAACTGTAATTTCTACAACACATGAATGCCACGGAAGAACGCTGTAAAACATTACAACATGTCCGTAAAACTACAGCAAATGTTAAGGAGATACATATAAATGTTAATTATAATCCCATATGTAAATGGGACTCGCTTAAAAATTTTAATTATGCAACAGTGAATATATTGTTTTTAACCTCACTGTTAATCGTATACCAATCTCACCTTACATACGTTATACATTGACATTTACTTAGCCAAAGCAGCAGTTAGTATACGCTCAGCTGCACATTTAAATATTGAATTCGTTATAGCTCTCTCTCTGTATAATTACAGCATTAAATTTTCCTTAGTATCGCTTGCTTTTTGTATTTAGCATATTACGTTTCGCGTACAATCTACGAATATCGTAATTACGCTTTAATAATAGTTTAAGAGATTCAGTTGAGAAATGTTGGTGGCTGTAATCGAACATTTAGTAAGTTCACGTTGTTTATGTTTAAATAACCTGCTATAGCGAAATGAATTAAAAATAATATTTCACCATATACAACTTGAAAAAAAAAAGACAGACTGTATCTAAGGGTGAAATCCACATATATTTTTTGTAAAATGTTCTTCATTATACGTCATTTACAGGCATGCACACACACACACACACACACACAAACATATGCTCAAGTTCATAGTTTGTTATGAGGTGTGTATGACGTACGTACTTAAAAGAAATGAATATTTTACAGTTACAAACGTGCAGAAGTTTAATATAAAACGTTCCTGGAAATTTTAAAAGCCTGCAGGATAAAAGTTGAAACACGTCAGATAGTTTTGCTAATTTTGCTTTCTACACTTATACTGCAGATATGAAATATCCTTTCATCCTTGCTATTTAAAAGTCTCTATCCAGAATGGTATTTATTTGTTTATAGTCACATATATAAATCCAATTCACTGCTACATAATCTACGATCCCATTGAAAACTTTCTGGGGAAAAGATATTCGCAAGATAATAACAATTAATTCATCCTGAAGGGCATACAACAGCACAAAAACATTTTCGTAGATTCTTCTCCAAGTATTCCGGGCGTAGCCCAGTGACTAGCGTGCCTACTGTGAAGTTGAGATTCCATGGTTCGCGTCCCCTGAAACAAGAGTAAACCAAGAGGTGGGGATGAATGATGTTGATTAGCTGTTTTCCCTATAGTCTAGTCCCTATGCGGACTTACAACACTAGAAACCGGGTTTCGATACTCGTGGTGGGCAGAGCACAGATAGCCCATTGTGTAGCTTTGTGATTAACTTCAAACAAACAAACAAACCTATAGTCCATCATTTAAAAAGTAGGGACGGCTTGCGCAGATAGACCTCATATATGTTTGCGCAAAATTCAATAAATAAATAACTCTTCTGAAGATGATTGCGAGCTGTCAGACAAAGGAGAGTCCTGTAGTAATTAGACCTCGTTTACTCTGTTTTGGGATCTAGTATATCTAAACATCAATTATAATATTTAAAAAATACTACATAGGGAAGTTACAAAGTAAAAAGTCGGCAGATGTAAAGGCGTGATGACTGTTTTACCAACCAATTTGAGTGACATATCGGAATTCCCGGATGTGAAGGTAAACAATGATTCCTACACACAAAATATTTATAGGCCTAGATGGATTTGAAGACTTTCAGAGCATCGCCATCAAAGGGACAAAGAGTGTTGTTTATGTAACTATATATGTACCATAGTGTCTGTCCACCTTCTCTTATTATCTATCCAGACAGTCCTTAAATTGCATGGATCTAGTAACCAGAGCTCTTTCTCAACAGACTAGCTTTGTGTGTGCCTCAAATGGTCGTTTGACTCTAAAGAATGCATATATAATGACGACAGTTTCACTTTTGGTGCAACCTATCAGTGAACAACAATCTCAAATCAAGTATATCTACATCCTAACACAGGCACAAAAATCCCTAGCTGTAAACAATAACAACAATTCAACGTATACACTTTAGTAAAGATGAGAAAAACTCTCAATAATATATAACACTTTTAGGCAAGAAAGATGGTAAGACCTTTTTTAAAATGGAATTCTGCTGTTGCACTTTGTTCCACTGCTGTTATGTAAGTGCAAACAGATATTTTCATTCCAATTAAACAGTGTCTTTCTCCGACCATATTAAAGCTCTATTCCTCACCATAGACAAATCAGTATCCACCCCTTATCTCTGTTTCTACCAATGCCACGAGTACGCAATCGGGACCAGTCTCTTTGGATCCAACGTGGAAGTCAATCATTAAGTCTCTCACTTGCTTGTAATCCTCTTCACTTAATGGGGACTCATCCTCTCCGTTTTGGGCAGAGTCCATGGAGGTCAATATAACTACTTTTGAATAATAGAGAAAAGTGGCCGAAAATTAGAACAAAAACGCTTCTCATCTAGATCTATTCAACAATCTAAGTGAAATTGTCCAGTTGATACAGTAATACTACTCTTTATACCAATTTAGATGACACTTGATTCTTACAATCCTTTTATAAAAAACAACAACAAAAAACCAGCTGACACTGTCTCCATTCAACATAGTTCGTTAATCAGAAACAAGATGTATGACGATGGGTTCAAAGAGGATCAATTTTTCTGGTTGATCAGTATATTACCTCTATGAATGTACTATTCACTACAACTCTAAAGACTGTTGGCGTTCATGACTCCATTGTACCATCACACTGTACGCTCTTTACTTGTCTCCAGGGAAATAAATTGATCAAACCGAAATTGATGATCTTATTGAATAGTTTCCATCTTCCCTCATTTATCCTGCGAGATTTAATTGGGAATATTACACTCTGGAGTGGTGAAATTATGGATGGGAAGGGATAATTTGTGGAGCATTTTCTTTCATATCATAGCCTTTCTCCCTCTTCGATACTTGTAATTATATTAATTTATAAGCCCCGAGTCGGACATTTACTGCTATTGATCTATCAATTTGTTCACTTTTTCTCTTTCCTTGCTTTTCACGAGGCAGTGATAATTTCCCATTATTTTGAGAGAGATTGGCCACAGTTAGTGCTATCCATGACGAAAGCTGGTGGCGGTTGTCTGGTCCTTCTTCATCATTCTTATAGAGCTTAATTCTGCCATTGTTATCCGACCACCTGTTAATAACTGTGTAGAGGCAGTAATTTATCATATTGACTAGAAGGATGTCTTTATTACCCCTAAAACCCCGACACATTTTTCACAATATTCTCATCCATGGTAGACACCTGAATGTCAAAGGGCACAATGGTCTCAGAAAAAAGGCTAGGACATTCTTCGGTGATATCCCACTGTTACCAAATGCACAGCCTTTTAAGAAGACTCATGCCCGTGCCAAGTAGATCAAATATCGAAGCCAGGAGGAGGCTTAGATTTTCACTACCAGTTCTAAGTTCTTTTGGAACATAATTCAATCTTCCAACACAATGACCAACAAGTAGCTGACTGACAGAGAATTGTTAACACTCTTAGAGACTGGTAACCAAGCACATCTACCATTTTCTTCGTCTTCCCGGCCATCAAAAAATGGATTGAAAATTTTCACTTTCTTTTCAGACTAATTGTCTTTTAATTATAAATGACCATTCATTCTGATTGAATTCAAATTTTCTCTAAATTAGTCAGCAGAATATCTTTCAGATTGGATGATGTACATTACAATATGCTGTGCCATTTTTCTCTATGTATTTCTTGAATTTCTTCTGTTTTATAATCAGCTTCGAAAAAAGAAAAAATTCTTCATATATAGTGTTGGGCTGTTGTTATCACTTTTTCTGATAAGTTGTCTGTGAAAAATTTTGGGGAGGATGATTGATGCTCGTCACGTTTCGGTATTTGGATCAAACAACGTGGTCTGGCATGGCCAGGTGGTTAGGGCGCTTGCCTCGCAATTTGAGTGTTCAATTCCCTGTCCCACCAAACATGTTCACCCTTTCAGCCGTGGGGCGTTATAATGTGAAGATCAATTCCACAATACGTTGATAAAAGAATAGCCCAAGAGTTGGCGATGGTGGTGGTGACTAGCTGCTTTCCTTCTAGTCTTTCACTGCAAAATTAGGGATGGCTAGCTCAAATAGCTCTCGTATAACTTTGCGCGAAATTCAAAACAAACAAATCAAACAACCTATTCTTTTACGCTGGATTTTGTAGGCAGTGTTTCACCACGGATTACCTGAGTTGACTTGAAACATTGATCAGGGAAGCTATTCTCAAGAGAGAATATCATGTTTATATATTTTTGATTTTGAGAAGGCTTATGACACCAGGTGGAGATTTGGTATATTTTGAGATCTCTATTTTTATTGGTTGTATAGCCATTTACCAACTTTTATTTGCAAAATTTTAGCAGAGAAGTCAATCTGAGTCCATATGGGATCAGCAGATCCCAAAACCTTACGTAGGAACTTAAAGTACCTCAGAGCTGTATCTTGAGTGTCACATTGCTCAGCACTAAAATTATTGCCATTACTGAACAACTTCTTCCTAAAATTGCATGTAACCATTATGTTGATAACTTTCAGATTTCCTGCCAGTTTTAGAATATGAGATATACTGAAAGCAAGTACCTTCAATAAAATATGTTAGTGGATCATTACCAACATTTTTATATATTTACCAGATAACACTATTTACAGTCATTTTTGCTACAATAGAGATGGCACTCTGATCCAGAGCTCTATTTCAGAGGCGCACTTATTCCAGTAGTAGCAGAGATTGAGTTCTTAAGACTTTTCTTTGATGGCAAGCCGATTTTTTATCTACACATAAACATCCTAAAATCAAGTGCACAAAGGCACTGAACATTTTCCACATCCTCTCTTCAATATCTCTTGAGGAACAAATAGATATTCTATCCTCAAAATCGCCAATCTCTTCATTAAGTTAAGTTGGACTGGATTTCTGGACTATGTCTCAGCCAGAGACTCTGCATCGAAGATTAGGGGCATCGGCTGAGAACAAAGGCTTTTTAAACTTCTCTAGTCCAAAGTTTATATGCAGAATCCTTTGAACCTCCACTTCACATTCGAGGTTTGTAATTTTCTCTGCAGTCACAACCATAACATTCCACCTAGCAGGGTGTCATGATTCAATGGACAATGCTTTTTGCAAATAGATAAACCATAATCCCAAGCCCTGGGCTTTATATCCAATCAAAATTGATTCAGATGTGTTTGACATTGGCAGGCAATTTGGGTTCTAATTCAACTCTAAACTCAATAGTTGGCCCTCTAGCTTGCACAGTAATCAGAGGAAAAAATTGTCCCGACAATACTTTGCATTAGCTTCAGTTTTATTAAATATCCTACAGGGAATTGGCCCGGTATTATACGAGCAATGTGACACTTAAGTCACAAATACTCACGGTTTTAGTTTTATTATACATCCTTTAGGAGAGTGGCCCGCCGATACATGAGCAATGTGACACTTAAGTCACAAATACTCACGGTTTTAGTTTTATTATACATCCTTTAGGAGAGTGGCCCGCCGATACATGAGCAATGTGACACTCAAGT